TTTTTGTGATGTTTTGAGCTGATTACATTAAAGCAGACTTTGGATTTTTTCCTACTATCAACACAAGCTGTCTTTGGATGTTGGTCTGAATGTCGGGACAGCAACAATCCTGGCCTTCTGGGGCAATCCAGGCCTCCGGTTCCAATTTTCATATTCCGTATCTTGAACTACCCAGGAAGAATCTTCCCTCCTGTGAGTGCCCTCCCCCTGGGCTACTCGAAGAACCCCTGGCATTCCGTGTCTGTTACTATCATTCGTAGAGGTCAGATAACCCTTTGCAGCATCGGGGCCTTTCTCGCATTGGCCCCAAATGTCCAGCATTCCTTCCTGCAAAAGGGTGAGCCTGCATGCGCTCTCCTCTCCTTTCCAGGGTAAAGGGGATGTGTGCATGTGTCCCCTTGGGCCTTCGGAAGCTGCTTGGTTGGTCCTCCATTTGTGACCTTGCTCTTCCCTTTTTCTGTTGGTCATTTTGCACTTGCAAAGCTCATATCATTATTTTAAAGTATCTTCTTGCACACTGCTGTGGAAATAAGTTTCAGTGAAAGGCAGTGTGTGAATTCCAGACTAACTTTCTCCCTTCTGAGATACATAATGCCAGGGTTATTAAGAAAGAAAATGGCTTGGCCTAGAAATCCAAAACGTGTGCATTTTCACCTTCGATGCATGGCAGAAGCCTAAATATTCGAGCTCTCAGGACTCTGAAATGTTTACGAACCCTTCTTCTGTTGGACTAGCCTTGCCAGCTTGGTTCCCACCACACATTTTGGACTCGGCTCCCATCAGCCCCAGCCAACCTAGCCAGTGGTCAGAATGCTGGCTGTCGTTGTCCAACACCTCTGGAGAATCCCAGCTCAAGAGGGCCGCTCCGTAACTTGTGGGCACTTGACCAGCCTGACTCCCCAGCTCATTGAGCCCCAGATGAGTAGGGTGACCCTTCCTTCCAAAGCGGGGCCCCGTGGTCTGCGCATCCGCATCCGCACGGGCCCTCCGGCAGAGGGGTCTCGTGTTTCGGATGCGTTTCTGCCTGTGATACGGAGGCCAATGAAATGTGGCTGGGGGGCGGGGGGGTAGGACGGACCCAGACGTGGGCGTCTTGCTTTTGTGGCTGATGGGCTGCGATCCCAGGCCGGGGGACACAATCCTTCTGTAGTTGGCCAACAGGTGGCATTGTTTCTCAAGCATGCCTGAAAGGCTGAGCCCGTCTCCAGCACCAGCAGGATGGGTGGGCAAGGCCAGGGTGCGCACCAGACACCCGGAGCTGGGCTTTTAGGAGGAGAAAGACACACTCCCTGCCCTTCTGGAACTTTAATCAGCAGGAAGCCAACCTACGAACCTCACTGTTGTCGTCGTCGTCGTCGTCAACGCTTAATATTTTTCCAGGTCCTGCACATTTTCTCCCTACTGGCACATCAGCCTCGACTCCCACAGTCTCATCGCCACATTTCGCCACTGGGGAAGGTCGCATTTTCCTGCCCCTTGTGTGGGAAACTCCCGTTCACTCCCTTGTGGCACTTTGCTCAGCGGCCGACATCTAATTTATTTGTATTCTGTTTTATATTATTCTTATTTATTTATATAAGCCGTCCTGAGGCCTTTGCGACAGGACAGCATATACATATTCTAAATAAATAAATAATTGTGTGCCCCCTCCCAGCTGGCCGATTCTCCCCAATTTTTTAATGCACAAAGAAAACAAACTTAAACAATAAGGAATCCCCTCTCTAGATCGTCTCTAAACGAATTCCGTGATGTTCGCAGGAGCAACTGATCACTGCCGGCTTGGTTTCCTTTCCCCCGCTGCTTTTTCCTGGCCCTCCTGGGCTTGCCCGGTTGCCGCCCGGAGAGCCCCCTGGCCTTTAGTAGTGTGGATGCTGCAGGAGAGCATCGCCTCACCTGCCCTCCCCACCCCCCCCCCCCAGCAGCTGAAGCAAGCAAGTGGGGCTTTCAGATGGGGGGAGAGTTTGAGCAGGGAGACTGAAGAAGGGCCGCGGCTGGGCGCTGCTGGAGGGAACTCTGCCGGCTGGGCCTTTTCTCCAGAAGGGGAATTCCGCTCCCTCTGGATCGCAGCACGGAAACCCTCTGCCCTTCCGACTCAGCGAAGGAAGTTGGACCCCTTTTGGCCCGAGCGGCTCTCTTCCACTTTGGAGGTGGCCGTGTGGCCTGCAGTCCAGTACCGGGAAGGGCCAGAGGTGGCTACTGAAATACCAAGAACACCAGCACGTTTAGCACGAGCTCTCGTCCTGCATTGTTGCCAAGGGGAGGGGGCGGGGGGGGCTGGGCCAAAGCTGGGGAGCCAGAGAGCAGCTTGGCTGGGGCATGAGGAGGGGCATGGCCCTTGGGAACCCTGGCATGCCGGATCTGGCCCTGAACATGCGACTCCCAAGCCCCGGCTTGAACCGTCTGTGATCTTGCACAGAGTGCTGCTTTCTAGCAGTGGTGACGGCAGCTCTGCTGGTGGGGCAAAGCCGAGAGGTGAGCTCAGAGCCCCTTGCTCATGCAGCAGAAGGCGGTGAGGGCTGCTGAGGGCTGGAGGCGGCCAGACAAGACTCGTCCTCCCACACCTGTGCAGCTTTAGCAGGGTTCACGCGTTCGCAAGGATGAGAGAGATCCCAGGGACTGTGCCCCCGCCTGCGTGCAGAAGCACTCAGATCCACTCCCCAGTAAACATAACCTCTCCAGCAGCGTACATTTCGGATTTTTTTTTCAAAAAGCCTGTTTAATGATTTCATTTCTGCAAAGGCTGAGAGCTGCTTGGCCATCAGAGGATGCACAAAGCGGGGTGGGGGGGGGGGAGAACCGCTGTACCTTTAAGAGCCCTGTGACAGAGCTCACCTTCTCCTCTCACCCCTGCCTGGGAGGCAACACCAGCCCACAGCCGCTCCGCACTCCCACTCTTAAAGGCGCAGGAGGCCAGCTGTGCAGCTCTGCCGTGCCTCTGATGGCACGATCCCGTTGCAGTCGGTGGACTCGGCGGGGGCTGGAGGGCGACTCCGTCTTCCGGCGGCTCAGATGCACGCCCGTCCGTCCGTCGGCCACCCTGGCTGCACAATCAGCCATGCTCCCTGTGCTCAGTCACTGGGATGCACCCTTTGAGCATGCCCTGATTCTGTACATATGGCAGCATGTGACTTTTCGGGCATTTCTCTATTTTTAGCTTGGTAGGAAGAGACCACTTCCAGGGCCTCTCTGCTCTCAGAAAAGCCTGGCGCTGCCTGTTTGCTGGGTGGCCCCCGCCATCGAAAAGGAAGGCAAGTCGCAGCTTCGAGAGCAGACCAAAGGCGGGCGCTTTGGTGGCCTAATCCGAGGCAAGCTCAGAAGGGAAAACCAAGTGTAGCTCCACCTGCCCAGCCTTGAAGGGGATCTAGAAGGGATGGCTGCAGGACAGCTTGGCCACCCGAAATTTAGTCTGGAGGGAGGGCTGGCTGGGGCTGCTGGGAAGTGTAGGCCTGCACCCTTGCTCTGCTAAAAGGCTTGGCTGAGGTTCAGCTCTTTCCCGAAAGGAGCTCAGGGGGATGCAGTCCCCGGCTCCCCAAGGAGCTTCTCGCCCTTGTGCTAAGCGCCCTTCTTGCCGGCTTCTTCCCCTGGGCTGACTGGGGCAGCCTCTTGCCCGCCACGCTCCTCGCTAGGCACGACCCACTAACGCCCAGGAAGACCCATTTCAAAGGGCAAACCTCACGCTTCCAAGCCGCACACTTGTGACCCCCCAAGCGGTCGTGTAGACAGAAAGATTGTCTCGTGTACCTCGAAAGCTGAAATGGGAGTGTGGCACTGGCGGGGTCTGCATTTTGCCTGACTGGTTGTGAAGAGGGCAGCCGTCTGAGAGCAAGGAAAACGGGAAGGAAGGAGTGAGACAGAGTGCGGAGAAAAGGGGTGGTGGATGGTGGGTCCAGGCTCTGCGAGCAGCCCGTGAGATCCATCTTCTGCCTTGCCGAGGCTCCGCCCCATCCCACCGGAAGGTCCCGGAGCCAGGGAGCAGGCGGAGCCTTCCTGGTGGCGACTCCTGTGCTCTGCACATTGTAGGTTCTCAGTTCCAGACTTCTAAGGAGTCTCCAAAGACATCGCAAACGTTTCCAGCCATTACATGGTCAACGTTTTCAGGCACTCGATGGCCTTGGCTCTGCATACACCAAGAAACCCTCCCATCCAGAGCCAGTGTGGTGTGAGAGGCAGTGTGGTGTAGTGGTTAAGAGCATGGGACTGGGACTCAGAGGATCTGGGTTCTGGTCCCCGCTCAGCCATGGAGCCAACTGGGTGACTTTGGGCCAGTCACAGACTCTCAGCCCAGCCTACCTCACAGGGTTGTTGTTGTGGGGATAAGATGGAGGAGGAGAGATGAGGTAAGCTGCTTTGAGCCCTTTGTAGGAAAAAGGCAGGATATAAATCGGAAAATAAATAAAAATAAAAGCCCTGCATCCCCTCAGTTGTGCTCCAGTGCAATTCCTGCCCTCCCCAGCCAGGCTGGGGCTGCAGTCCGTCACACGTGGGAGGTGCTGCCTTGGAAAATTCTGCTTTTCTCCTTTGCCCTTTAGATCAACAGGTAAAGCTCTGTGCAGCCATTGCCCTTAAAGTTGTCCAGGGCATCTGGGAGTCTGGGAACAGGAGCTCTTTCCGTTCTGGCCACCCTCTCATGGAGTGGCCCTTTTTGTTGATGTTCGACCTCGGCCCGGAGAGGGCGTGTGGGACCTCCCAGCTCCGTCCTGGTCCTGCCTCCCAGGAGGCACCCTAATCACTCCTGATTTCATGCTGAAATCTGCCAGCATGGAATCCCTGTTGATTATTTATCTGCCCTGTAGGCTGCCCCCTTCGCTGCACGCTCTCTGGGTGGGTCGTAACATCTGATGCAGCGAGGGAAACCGTTCAACTGTGTCTCGCCATGAGATATGATGGCCAGCCATTGTGGTGGTGTAATCTCCACGGCTGGTCTGCTGGGGGGCGGCCGTTGCCCCAGATGGGCCCCCCGCCCCCCTGAAGCCCCGCTCTCTCCTCCTCTCCCTCCGCAGCGGTGTCGGACTGGCCCGGGCCCACTTCGAGAAGCAGCCGCCCTCCAACCTGCGGAAGTCCAATTTCTTCCACTTTGTGCTGGCCATGTACGACCGGCACGGGCAGCCGGTGGAAATTGAGAGGACCTCCTTCATTGACTTCGTGGAGAAGGACAGGGTAAGGGGGAAGGAGGATCAGGCCCTCCTGCATTCCCTGTGAAGGCTCCAGTGGGCCCTCAGAGGCAGGGGTCCCGCAGGGCTCCTGGACAGGCAACGGCCACGTTGGGAAGTCCCCTTGCCATCTGGGGCATTGCTGGAAACATGGCAGCCACCCAGCGCCCGGATGCCGTGCGCTTTTAACGTGGGCGCTGAGGGCGGTCCCTGCCTGCGTGATTTGACCCCGGTGCTGCCCAGGAATGGTGCTTTGGAGCCCCCGCAGAGAACACCCTGGGGCCGTTACTCACGTGCAAGAGAGAAATCCGGCAAGAGCAGCTTTTGCAGTCCCTCTGGGTAGTAAGGCCTTGATTCTATGCCTGCTTACCCGGGAGTAAGCCCCACTGAAGTCACTGGGACTTGGGTCTGACTAGGCATGCGCAAGATTGCTTGGCGGGAGCCCTAGAGACGCATCCAAAACCCAACTGAACCCCACCTTTGCTGTAAACCCCGAGAGTAACCTTGTTCCTGCAGCCCCCATTTGAAATTCGGGGATGCTCCTGTTTGTGTTGTCATTGCTGTGTTGTTGTTATTTCCCCATACTGCACTCAGGACTGCTTACACAGCTCACCCCCCTGCCCCCAACACACGCACCATTTTATCCACACAATCACAACCCTGCCAGCCAGGTTCAGCCAGGAGGGAAAGCGGCTGAAGGGGAGTCGAGTGGGGTCTCCCCAGCGCGAGGAGGCCGGGTCTTCACCCTGTTGCCCCTTTCCACCTTCCCCCAGGAGCAGAACGGGGAGAGGACCAACAACGGCATCCACTACCGCCTGCAGCTGCTGTACAGCAACGGTGAGGACGGCGGGGGCCGCGCAGGGGCCCGGAGCAGGACAGCCACGCACCGGCTTTCTTTCGCAGAGTGTTGAGCGAGGCGCCTCCGGCATTCCCGCGGTGGATCCTGGGGGTGAAAGAAGGCTTCTCCCGCAGGCTGCCTGAAACCGGAAAGGCGGCCGGTCCAGATGCTTTGCCCTGCTGGTAGAGGAAGCTGCCAAACGGGGGCTGCTCCTTCGTCCCCCTGCCGGGGCCGGTTGCGGAGGCCGTGCGTGGCCTCTGCCGTGGGTGGCCGCGTGGCTGCAGAGCCCACGTGGCATCGTTACACACGTGTGCGACGACACACGCGAGAGTGCAATCTCAGAGCCTGCATGAGGCCACATGGACGCGGTGGCTCTGTGATTCCACTGCAGCAGTGGGAGTTGAATTCAGGATACCCAGCTCCAAATCCCACAGGATTCTTAGGGATGAGCCAGGAGGCCATGCGAAACTCTGCTAGCGTGGATACAAGCAGCAGGCAGCCGGAAGGCCAGGCTGCCAGCAGAGCCAGAGGGAGCCCACTGATTCCCGGCCACCCCTTTTCCTCGTGGCCTGGGCTGCTTCCTTCCCTTTCCAAGCCAAGCGTCTCCCAATCCCTCCGTCTTTGCCTCCTTGCAGGACTCCGGACAGAACAAGACCTCTATGTACGGCTCATTGACTCCATGTCCAAGCAGGTAATCGCGTCCAGTGCTGCGGGGGGGCGGGGGGGCAGCACCCCTGCATGGAAGGGGACCCGCTAGGGAGTCTGGGTGGGCAGTACTTTTCCACAGACCCTGGCCTACCATAGGAACATTGCAGAATGCATGGACGGAACGGTGATCAGGGTTGTCGCGGCGCAACGGAGGGGTCCTCCACTCAGAGAGGTATATGTTTGAAAAATTTAAGTATCGTTCTGTGGCTCCCAGCCGAGAGGTTTCCCGGGGCAGCTGCACAGGTTCACTTGACGGCAGCCGATTCCCTGGCTTGCCATCTAAACAGACGTGACACACAAGGAAAAAGGGATGGGGAGGGAAGGGGGGGGATAAATCTTTCTGCAAGGCTGGGAGGGTGGCTCTGCGCTCTTGCTCTTCTGCTCCCTCCATCTGCCCTGCTGGGATAATGCGATTGGCATCCTCCAAAGCATGCTGGGAACTGTAGTCCCGCGAGGGTGCGGAGAAAGACATCTCTTTTAGAGCTGCGGTTCCTACTGTCCTCAGAGGAGGAGGAAAAGATGTGATTAAAGCAGTTTAAATCTGAGGGGTAGAGTTGCCCTGACTTCCCCTTTGAACTATGCTGAAAGCAAGCTGGTAGGGACAGGTATCGGCTGCTGGTAGCAGGTGGGACGACGATGCACAGGGACCCCCGGGGCCCTAAATGCCACGCATCAGCTGGTGCCCACAAGATCTTTCAGGCTCCAACTCCCAGCGGCCTCCACCAGCAACTAAAAATGCTGGCACCTTTTTAAAGAAGTTTTTCTATGACGTCCCAGTACTAAAAGTCTCTGGACAGCTTACAAAAAACAAACAAAACCCCCAAAACAACCATATACAACAACCAACACACAACACACTGCATCTGATAATGATGATAAAAACATCAGTAAAATCAATTAACTGTTAGAATATTGGGGAAAAATAACATACCGTACCATACCATACCATAAAATGGTATTTTCTGTCCCACATCTCCACCTGGCAGCCCGCTGAACTTGAAAACTTGCTGGGTGGGACAGAGGGACATTGCAGGGCCGCCGCGTCAGACAGGCCCCCTCCCCGTAATGGTGGTCCTCACCTTTGCCCCGTGCAGAGTGGGGGGCAGGCAGGATGATTTCAAAAGGGAGTGAGTCTGGGCCACTTCCAGGTCCCCCCCCCCACCAAGGGAGGAGCCCAAGGGAAGCCCCAGGAAGATCTTCATTAAGCTTCCCCCTCATTAATCCATGCTATTAAGTGAGGAAGCGCCGGGCTTCACACCTCCTTAGCATCTCTGACAGGTGCGCCGAAATATCACACCTGTTTTCAGTAGCTCCCGCAGGGCAGACTGTTTTGTGCTAAATGTTAACAGCGACAACAACAGCAAGGTAACTGAATTCGGTGCCAAGGAGGGCTAAGTCCGGCAGCAGTGCCAATTCTGGGCATCTCTCCCACCCCCGGGACACCCCCCTCTCCGCCACCCCATCCATTCCTTGGGGGCTGAAATTTGTGTGGTGCTTCCTTAGGCAAAGCTTCCCTGAGGGGCCCCACCTGCTTCTGAGCGGCTCAGTGCCAGAAGCAGCTTCGCTTAGGATCTGGCTGCTCCACCTCAAAAAAAAGTAAAAAAAAATCCCTTGGCATTGAAAATGTGCATCAACTGTGTTGTTGTTAGTCACAAAGTCATGTTCGACCCATCGCGACCCCATGGACAACACTCCTCCAGGCCTTCCTGTCCTCCACCATCCCCCAGAGTCCACCTAAGCCCACACTCACCGCCCCAGTGACCCCATCCAGCCACCTCATCCTCTGCCGCCCCCTCCTTCTTTTGCCCTCTATTGTTCCCAGCATCAGGCTCTTCTCCAGGGAGTCCTTCCTTCTCATTAGGTGGCCAAAGTATCTGAGCTTCATCTTCAGGATCTGGCCTTCTAAAGAGCAGTCAGGGTTGATCTCCTCTAGGACTGACCGGTTTGATCGCCTTGTGGTCCAAGGGACTTGCAGAGTCTCCTCCAGCACCACAATTCAAAGGCCTCAACTCTTACCTAGGGCTAATCGTGGGTAAGAGAAAGCCTGTTGAACTCAACAGGACTCAGACTGATCATCATTAACTCGTCTCGTGATTTCAGGCAGGCGTTCCTCTGGCCATGAGTCCATCTGGGTCTCATCCCAATGGAAAAGGGGTTCTAGCACAGCGTTCCTCCCGAAGCACAAGCCTTCCTTCTTCCGGCTTCGTTCCTGCAGGGGGGCCAAGGAACTGCAGGGCAGCAGCCCTGGGGCAGCTGAAAGGTCATAGCTCAGGAGAAGCATCAGTTGAGAGGGAATTGGGGCCTGCTGCCCGGCAAACATCTTCAGGAACAGGCTGCATGTGTGAATGTTTTCAAGTGTTGATTATCTTCCAAGAGCAGGAAGCAGCACCCAAAGGCTGGAAGGGCACATTGAAGGCACATTGAAGGAAGAACCCTCCCTGTAACGCCATCCAAGTCTGTAGCTCTCATGATTATGTGGTCAAAACTCAGAAGCAGAAGGGCTGCCAAGTAAGCTTTCCACCCATGGGCGCAGGGGCATCAGCTGTTCCTTGCCGCTTGCCATGGTTAACTGAAATACATTAAATTGTGTGTGCTAAGGAAAGAGCTGCAGTATGTACAATGTCTGCATGACCCAGAATCAGCCGTCGTGTGTGCAGGAGAAAGGCAGAGGTCTATTGGGTTAACCCCTTGGGCCCTGGAAAAAAAATGCCGTATCTTGCAGCATTCGTTCTCTGGTGTTCCCAAGGCTGTACATCCCAACATAACCGTCTCTTCCACTCCATTTTCAGGCAATCATCTATGAAGGACAAGACAAGAACCCAGAGATGTGCCGTGTGTTGCTGACGCATGAGATCATGTGCAGGTGAGCCTTTCCCCCCTCTCGAGTGGTGCAGGGGAGCCAGTCTAATTCTGCGCAATGATATTTTGATATGCGGAGGTGCCACGGGCTGTTTGCAGAAAGCTTGGCCGAAAGGGCTGAGTGCTGCGCAGCCTTCATTTCGGCGGCGTTACTCTGTGGTAGGCTGGCACTGGATGCAATCCGTGGTGTGGAGAAAGCTGCAGGGGGGCAGTTTCCCTTTGGTATAGTGCTCAACACCCGTGCGCGTTTTTGGCAGCAGGCGGAAGACCCAACGTGAAAGCAATTCAGCCTGCCATGCGCCAAAATGGGCAGCTTTTACTGCTGCCAAATGAGTTGACAGCTGCTGCCTTGGACGTTTGCTAAGCGGCTTAGACGAGTTCATGGACGATGGGTTTTATTGATGGCTCTTGGCTATGAAGATTAATGTGGGCCTCCATGTTTGGGGGCCCGTCTCAAGACCCCACTTGCGGGGGGGGGGGAGAGCATGTGGCCTCACGCCTGCGTGCGGAGCCGGTGGGGGAGCCTTGCAGATGCGTAGGCTGGGCTACTCCTCGGAAGCAGAACGCTGGGCTGGGGCAGCCCTTGCTCTGACCCGGCCGGACGCTGAGCCTGAGGCCTGCGGGCCCAATCCTGCCACCGGGAGGTCCCCAGGCGGCCACGCCATCTTCTTTCTGCCCCACCTGTCCCCAGCAGTTCCCAGGATTTGCACCCCCTCCCACATCTAAGGGCTTTCAGTGCCTTCCCTGAGACGGTAAGAGACTTTGCTGAAAGGTTTGATACTTGGCCCTTGTTCTTTGGTCCCATCTCCCTATGGGAGTCAGCCCCACTTCCGAAACCGAATTTGGCCCCCAGCTAAGGGGCATTATGTTCTTCGCTGCTACTGCTTATGAAGAATATCCTTTAATGCCGAGTCCTTGGTCGGCCACTCTCTGCTCAGAGGCATCCGTCGCAGTGGCCACGGCAGGGCCAGGAAGGGGCCCGGGCCCCACAGGCGGGCGGGCCTATGCCAGGTGAGGTGTTTCCCGGCTGAGAAGGTGCAGTCACGGGGAAACAGCCGGCTGCAAACTTCCAGAGTCTAAACGTGCTCCTTAAGAGACTTGATGGGGGCATCGCATGGGCACCCAACCAGCCGTGTTTGCCGTGGATACTTAAAGATGGCCCCAAACGGGGTGTTGCGAACGTTCGCTAGAGGGGATGTGGAACTAGGGGTGCAGTTTGGGCTCAGATGGAGCTTGAGCTGCGGACTCCACACGTGCCGGTTGTGCTCCTGGAGTGATTAGTGTGAGGGCAGGGCCTGGAGAAGTGGCCGCAAGGGCGCAGCAGGACCCGGGCATCTCCGAGTCAGACCTGGCCTCTGTCTCAGCCCGGTGGCTTCGGCACGCAGCGCTCCCCCGCCCTCCGCCTCAGCCTTCCCACCTCTGTCTTCAGTAGAGGTGTGATGATCGTTCTGTCCTACTTTGCAGGGCTGTGGTGAAGATCACAGTGTGGTGTCAGGAGCGTGGGTCTGGGACGCAGGCGATCTGGGTTCGAGTCCCCGCTCAGCCATGGAACCGACTGGGTGACTTTGGGCCAGTCGCAGACTCTCAGCCCAACCGACCTCACAGGGTTGTTGTTGTGGGGATAACAATGAGAGCAGGACAGCAATGGTTGGTAGCTGCTTTGAGTTCTTTAAAAAAAGAAAAAGGCAGGATATAACTCCAATGGATGGATGGACAGATTGTTAGATAGATAGATGAGCAGAGCGAGCAAGTGAAGGACCCTGAACACACGAAGGCAGCTCTACGGACACTGAGAATTCTGGCGTGTGTGAATCCCCTCCTTTTGTGGCTTGATCCTGCCGCCGCTCTGCCACATTTCCTGCAGCTTCCCCAGCATCTCTCCCCTGCAGCGGCTCCTGTCCCGGAAGCAGCCCCCCCGGCAGGGCAGGCGGGGGATCCCCGTGCCAGCGGGCAGCCTGGGCCACTGTCGCTTTGCAGGAGCTACCCAAGCTGCTCGCCTGTCCCCCGCCAGGGGCAGGGGACCGGGGCAGAAGAAACTTCTGCAGAGGTGGAGCGCCGGAAGTGGAGGCTGGTTCAGCACGTTTGGGTTCCGCACTCGGACGCCCCCCTCCCCGGTCTACATGGGGATGTCCCGCTGGGCCGACGGCTGGCCACCCTAACGCAGCTGGCCACTCCGCCGGCCGCCCATGCTTGCCCCAGCCGCGCACAGGGCCAGGCCGATCCAGCAGCCGCAGGCTGGGAGCTCCTCCCTGCTCCCCGGTCCCCGAGCTCCCTGGTGCCCCATTAGCGCCTGCCTTGTTTACGACACTTGTGCGCAGTGTTTGTGCAAATTAGCGCGGCTGCCTCAGAGCCAACTTTCATGGCTAATTGATCTCCAGGAACCTTGCTAACGATCCCGGGGGCTAAGGGAATAGATGACAGTGCGGGGGGGGGGGGGCGAAGCATCTCTGCTCAGACACCCTCGGCTTTGTTTATGCAACTGTGGGTGGAATCGCAGCTCCCCCGGCAGGAATGGGACGAATTTAGAGCTCCTGGTTGTTTATCCGATCCGTTATTAATTATATTTAACTGGTGTGATGGTACCAGGTGGAATTATGAAAAGAATCGGAAAGGGATAGGGCTCTCAGGTGTCATGGTGACAAAGCACAGGGCATCCTAAAACCGAGACACAGGCACAAGGGGCAGTAAATTCGCCTTCTCCGTTTTCCTGAGCCTCTGATGGGGTTACAGTAGCTGCTGAGAGCTATGTCGAAGTGGCAACCTTTTCCTTTAATAATGAGACGTGTTGGTTTCCACGTGGTTGTGCTGTGGCTCCGGAGAAGAGCCCAGCTGCCTTTCCTGGTGCTCAGCACACTTCTTAGGATGTGGCTGAATTCTTTGTCCTTCGTTTGCCCCCTTTTATTCTTGTGGACCCTTCCTGCTTTTAACAGCCCATGCTTACCTTCAACAGCAGAAGCTCAATGGATTGGGGGGGGGGGGTGTTTCCTGGCAAGAAGATGCAAGGTGAGGAAGCCTTCCCTGTTGAATGTTAGCCTGTCGTGCAGCAACACACATCCAGCCTGGGCAGGCAGGACGTTCCTTAATCAGATCCTAGCCCGTTTAGGTGGAATGACCTGAGTTCATGCCCGTGGCAAGGTCAGGTTCGAAGCAAGACCAGAAAGGCAAGTTGCCCCTCGAATAGCTCCTTCGCCATCTTTCATCGCTCCACTAGTACCACGTCTCTGCTGCTCTCGTCACTCAAAAGGAAAATAAATAAATAAATAAATAAATAAGTGTTCACCAAAAAAAAAAACACAGTTCACAGCCAAATGTAAGAACTGTAAAGTAACTGAAAATTTAAAAATGCAATGTGTTGAAAACTCAACAGTAGTGCCCCTCCCAAAATCGCCTGGATGGGGGAAAGCAGGGAAGAGCAGGGTGAAGAGTTTGGATCGCGACAACCAAGACGGAGCGTCCGCTTTCAAGCTGAAGGGCAGCTCCAGGCTGAAGCGCCCCATGGAGTCCTGCCCTATAGGGTGACCCCTGCCAATCCAGGAACAGCCGCTTTAGCTCACCTCGCGCATGAGTGTGTTCTGCTCGTCAGAGCCGTGAGCTGTGGCTGGGAGGAGGAAAAGGGGCTTGTTCTGAGCCCCTTCCCCTGGTGATCTTACGGGCGTTAGGACGCTCGCTTAGACCCCCATGGCCCGCTTCCGCATTGCTCTGCTTTTGCTCCACCTGGTGAAGGGCAGCACGAGCGGGCCTGCGCGGAAAGTGTTCCTGATCCAAGCTGCGGGCCAGTGGGGCCTGGAGTGCGGGGCTGTGTCCCCCTTCCGCTTGCAGTTTCTGTCTCCAGGTGCTGCTCGTGCGTGTGTGAACCTTGGCCACTCGCAGAGGCCGTCTTGGGGAAGGGAGGGGAGGGACGGCGTGTCTTCACCCACGTGCCAGCAGATCACGCCGTGATGCGCAGCCAGCGGGCGGACCTGGTGCAGCGAAACAACAGAGTAGGATCCCATTTGCAACCCCGCAAAGCCAAGCCAGAGAGAAGCGGCTTCATTCCTGAACGATTCCAGTTCTTCCTCTGGAGTTTAAGTGGATTGCTAGCCCCAGCAGTCTGGGGGCCACCAGAGGTTTTAGACTTCAACTCCCATCAGCCCCAGCTAGCAAGACTAATAGTTTGAGATGCCAGGAGTTGTAGTCAGCAGTCGGTGAAGGCCGATCTAGGGATATTGGTCAGTTTCTGTCATCTTATTACAATTCCTGCAGTGGATTTAAATGTATGACAGAAATCTCGACAGTATTCTTCTAATATATGTGTTTAGACATTTTTCCATGGGTTGCATGAGCTTTTAAAAAATAAACTTTACTTTTGAATGGCAAATTCAAAGAGTAATAATTGGAATTATTTATAATATTACTAATTTTAGTAATAAAATTAGACTGGATTTTTTTTAAAGGGGTTGAGGGGAGGCAAGAGTCAGAGAATGACCCAGGCTGAAGAAAAAAGTTTTTGGGGCCCGGATACACTGAACATAGCCAATGGTTGTGGACACACACGTGCGTGTGTACATACACACAGAACGAGAGAGAGAGACAGAGAGAGCGCCTGTGGCTTATCTCCTGCAGAGTTTGCATCCAGGTGAAAATATTTTATTTATTTATTTATTTATTAGAACATTTCTATGCCGCCCCTTGCCGAAGCCTCGGGGCGGCTTACAACACAATAAAATACAATAAAATACAAAAATAACAATATAAAATTGAAATTAACAATATCAAATAAATATAAAATATAAAAGAAGTCGCCCTGGCCTGATAAATAAGCAAATATTGTTAACAATTAAAATGACGTTTAAATAAAAAGGTCTTAGCCTGGTGCCAAAAAACAAATAACGACGGCGCCAGGCGGACCTCTCTGGGGAGCGCATTCCATAGATTGGGCGCCACCGCAGAGAAGGCCCTCCTCTGAGTTTTCTACTGTTTGGCTGGGCATATATTAAATCCTCTCCTTTCTACCAATGAATAGTTATTTATTTCTTTATTTATCTAATTTAAAACATTTCTGTGCCACCCAATTGCGCCACAGCAGCTCTGGGCGGCTCACAGCCATAAGATAAAACACAATAAAAACTAATGACAACATATTTAAAAAGCCAATGTTAATAAAATACGGATAAAATACAAAACAGAAGGTTGAGTAGTATTAGCTATTAAAATATTTTTTGTTCACATAGTGATGAATGAATTTGTCCATTTTGGTTCCTCTCAGTTCCTCTTTTTTCTGAATTTATGTTTGATTCATCCCAAACTTTGAGGAAAAAAAGGTGTTTCGTGCGATTAGACATACGCTTTTCTCTCTTTCCTCTTAATAAATGCTTTTTGTATACAGTTTCGCCTCCTAGGCAAGGATTTTGCTCTTTTTCTCAAATTCACTTTTGAAAGCTATTTTCATTACCATAAGCATTTCTGATGCACTTTCTCTAATATACAAATGTTAATTCTTGGTTTTGTTTTGTTAAGAAAAGCTCCAGAAAACTTCACCACTGAGAAGTATGAATCTGGAGAGATAACTGAGCTTTGGTTCGCTAAATGGTTCAAAAGTTTATGCTGCTGAACACTTTTCTCTCTTCCTCCTCTTCCTGTCCAACCAAAAGATGCTGTGCATAACAGGGATGCTAAGGCTTTGGACGCTTGCTTTATCGGTGCTCCTGTTCTCCTCCCTGATTTCCTCTCCCTTCGGTCTCTTATGCCCTTACAGCCGCTGTTGCGACAAGAAAAGCTGCGGGAACCGCAACGAGACGCCCTCCGACCCCGTCATCATCGACAGGTGAGGCTCACCTTTACCTGCAGCCTGCGGGTTGGAAGGAGCTGGTTGGTTAAGCGATTAACGTTTTCCACAGTGGGGCGTGAACAGTGGCGGAGCCTTGTTCCATGGCCCTGGTGTGCTCCAGGTGTGTTGGACTCCCCATGGCTCTGCTGGCTGGGAATGATGGGAGTTGTAGTCCCTCACATCCCGCAGGCAACAGGTTTGGGAAGGTGCATGCATGGAAAGCCCTGTGTCGGTGGCAGCTTCAAAAATTATATAATTATTGCCTGAAAAGCTGGATAAAATGCAGCAAATCTACATGACCTCCAGCAGTTCTTCTCAGTCCCTTATTGGATGCTTGATATCCCAGGTGCTTTTTTAAAATTCCAGTTGTATCTCTGCCACCCTTGAGGACTAGAGACTTAGTTGGTTGGTTCTGAAGAGATGAATGCTGTGTTTTTGAGATGGTGATTTGCTCTTATGCTTGTTTCAAGGAGGGATGGGATTCATGGCACCCCCCCGCTGGACATTCCCCCCCCCCCCCGGCTGCCAGACTGCAGTCCGGCCTTTTCGCTTTTCTGACCCCACTCCCAAGTTTCTGTGCCCACACGGTTCCCTACCTTGTCCCCAGCATCTTTCAGTGGGAGGGCTGGAATCCATTTCGGATAAGCTTTTGGGTGGGGAGGGGGCACATTCCAGGGCAGATGGGGGGTGCTGAAGTCAGATAGGGTGGTCCCAAGGAAAGAGGAGCAGGGAGTAAAACTGAAAACCCACCTTTTTTCCACTTCCAGTTATCACTGCCAGGAACTAAGCCAAGAGGCCCTTCAACTTTTTAGAATGAGGGAAAAACCTACAAAAGCTGGGAAGCCCCCAAAGGCCGTGCGGCTTGGGAAGAGCAAGCTGGCCAGGGGAAAGGCCCCTGGCCTTCTGGGGGACCCAAGGGGGCTGGGCTGCATCCCAGGTGGGCCAGATGAGGCACCATGCTTTCCACACACAGGATGTCTCAAGGAAGAGGTGGAAACAGGTTGGATGGGAGAGCCAAGTTACGGAACGGAGTCCAGGGAAAGTGCACGGCCAGCTGGCTGGCTGGAACGTTGAGCAGCCACAGTCCCCACTGAAGCAAGGCCCCCACTAGGAAGAGGGGATGCTGAGCACGGAGCTCTGTTGGACTGGCCCGGGGCAGCCAGCTCCAGAGCTCCTTCGGGCACTTCTGGGAGGTGTGAGGAGTTGCAGCATAGAAACATGGAAACAGGGTGAGCCAGAAGGGGTCTCCCGGGCCATCTAGTCTGACCCCCAGCTCCAGCCGGCTCCACTCACGACATGCCCACCATGTGGACATCCAGCCTATCCTTGAACACCCTCACCAGTGGGGCCTCAACCACCTCCCGTGGAAGCCCATTCCATGCCCTGGGGGTCCTAACCATCAGGAAGCGCTTCCTGGCATCCAAACTGAACCTTGGCTCCCTGAGCATGGCTCCATTGGCGCACATCCTGCCCTCCACTGCATCTCGGGCTTCCACTCCCCGTGGATCTAACTTGCCTCAAGGTGGAGGAGACTTGCATTCCCCATGAGGCGGGGGGGGGGTTCTATGCCCAGAAGCCCCCTTCCCTGTGGGAAATATTTTATTTATGTATTTGATTTCTATGTCACCCCATTCCATAAGCTCTCTGGGTGGCTTACATAAAATCAATGCCACAATACAACATGATCAAATCAGCAGGTACGATAAAACCGGTAACAAGCAACCAAGAGAAAAGCCAATAGATAATCAGAGGTATAATTCATTAATTACATCGAGAAGGGGGTGCAATATCAAGCTAAGGTCGCTCGCCTGTTTGTTTGGCGAAGGAACGTCGCATTGTTCGCCAAGACTATGTGTCCTGGGAGGGGAAGCACAGGCTCTGCCCGCTTCCCATCTCGCGCTTCCAAGACGGATACAAATACCCGCTCCCGGAAAAGTCATCTCTATCTGGATCAAGCCTGGTCCTTCCCGGCTGGCCCATCACTGCCGGCAAACGCCCGGGAAGCACATATTTCCCCTGATCCAGGCTCTGCAGAAGCTGCCTCCTGGCCGGTCAGTTTCGCCCCAGGCCACCCAAGGCCAAGCCTTGTCCGGAATGCTTCTGGATAATCCCTTAGAAGTCCTTGGCGTCAGGGATGGCTCCGTTGCCACAGTCCAGGCCCAGTGCCCCCCCCATGGCCCCCAAATCCCAAAGGGGCGCCCGCCCTCTCCTTCGACTTTCTTTCTCCACTCGGCACTGGGAGGGCCTAGATGTCCTGCGCCCAGCACCATCCAGAAACGCAGGCATGGCACTGGCATGCCTGGGGGGGGCATGGGTTGCCCCCCAGAAGGAGGGAGCCCGGCCGGTCGAGCTGCCTTGCTTCACCCGCTCTGGCTGCTCCGCAGGGTCTCTTGCCTCCAAGTTGGCGTGGGTCAGTTATGGGCAGGTGCTTCTACCTGGCCTCTCCTGACACGGCGCGCTCAGGATGCTGGCACTTGTAGTTCCACACATGTGAAGGGTGCCAAGACGGAGATGCTTTTGCAGACTAACTTTCCAGGAGCTCCAGAGGAGCGTTGGCTCATCCCCCATGGGGGGGCGGTCTGTCCCTTTCCAGAAGTACCCCCGTGACTGCTGGGCAAAGGGCACGGCCTTCTCCCGTCCCCTTTGTCCTCGTCCTGCATCTCGGGGCCGGGGGCGTGCAGGTGGCCACGGACTGGTGTAGTCCAAGTTCCCCGTCCCTTGGACAAAGGGCCAAAGGGATGGAGAGGGCCCTCCCACTCGCACGCATCCCGGAGCCGGCGGCCAGGGTGCTCGGCAGCGGGCTGACATTTCCCCCGCTTTGTCTGCCGCGATAGATAGCATCGGCGGCGCGGCGAGAGGGCCCTGGTGCCTTGGGAAGGGCGGCCTGTCACTCAAGCCGCCAGAGAGACGGGCGGCCGCTGGCGCGAAAGAATGGAGATTGACAAGCCGGTGGGGAGATTAGACGGAGAAGAATCAACCCCATTACAGTCTGTCTGGCCGGCAAGCATTGTGTGCAACCGTCTTTGAGCTTCTGCCAGATTGCACAAGTGTGCGCACCCATACACAAACACACACACACACACACACACACACACACACACACACACACGCCCAGCACACCACTTGGAAAACAAGGAGAACAATAGGATTAAATTCCAAGAAGTTTTGTTTAGCTTGCTGTCTTTCAAGAACTTTGGCGTAAGACAGAGGGATGTAGGAAGATGCCCAGTAGTGGAGCTTCCGGCCCAGAATCGTCGGCCCTGACCGCAGGCAGTGGCTCTTCAGGGTGTTGGGGGGTCCTTGGAGAGCCCACCCGGAGATGCTCGGGATTCGAGCTGCAGCATTCCGTGTGCAAGCCAGAGCTGCTGCCACAGAGCTCCAGACCCTCCCGCAGGCCTGGACAGCTTTGAAATGCTACGAAGGAGCAGGGAGAGGTTGCTCTTGCTGGCCGGGCACCCTCTGTTCCCAGAGGTGGGCTGCTCACATGTGCCAGCTGCGGGGAGCTTGGGCAGGGGAGGCCTGGCACCCATCCTGCTGGGGGGGTCCTGTGGGCAGCTGCTTGGCCACTGTGTGTGCAGAGCGCTGGACTGATGCACCTGGGCCTGATCCGGCAGGACTCTTCTTACGGTCTCCTTCCCCTCGAAGCCGCTGCAGGCAACCTGGAGGAAACCCCCGGCAGAGGCAGGGAACCCTTCCTCCCTGTGATTTCCCTGATCCGCCAAAGCGCCATCTGAGTCAGCCCTGCCGCTTTTTAAGAAGCAGGAGTCCCCCCGGAGCGCCCGCCTCATTTCTCGTCCGACGGGTGACAGGCAACCGGGAGCCTTCGTGTTGCCCTCCTCTCCCCCTGGAAGGCCCCTCTGGCTCTCCTTGTGCCTTCTGCCCACCCTCTGGGCTCCCCTCGCCACCGACTGTTGGTTACCCAGAGGCAGTGTGGTGTAAAGGTTAGAGTGCTGGACAGGGACATGGGAGATTCAGGTTCTGCTCCCCACACAGAGCTCAATGGGTGACTTCAGGCCAGCCACGGCTCCCAGCCCAGCCTACCTCGCAGGGTTGTCGATGTGGGGGTAGAATGGAGAGGAGGGCGTCGCCTGGGGTTCCTCACCACAGGAAGAAGGGCAGGGTGTAAATGCAGCAACAGTCGCAACCGCAGCAGCAGCAGGCCTCCTATCCACCAGGTGCAGCTGGGTAGTTTTAGACCCTGGCCTTAAGAACCTTTTATGCAATGCTAGTCGCCAAGTCGCATCCGACCCATCGCGACCCCACGGACAGCATTCCTCCAGCCCTTCCTGTCCTCCACCATCCTCGGAGTCCACCCAAGCCCACACCCACCACCCCAGTGACTCCATCCAGCCCCCTCATCCTCTGCCGCCCCTTCTTCTTTTGCCCTCTATTGTTCCCGAAAGAACCTTTCCGAATGCCCCTTTAGCTTGTCACCCCTATTTCTTTAGTTGCGAAGCAGACAAGTATCGTTTCTAACCCACCCCATCCTCCACGCCTCAAAACTGCTCCTGCGAGCCTAGCAAAGCCGTTACAGCTGGGGGGGGGCTTTTGAAGTGCAGGTTTCGCGTTTTAGGCCCCCCATGTCAATGGGAATGGTGAGGATTTATTCTTTGCACCTGCCGCACTGGGGAAGCGGGCGGGCCCCGGACACTGGCCCCACGGCCAGCGGGAGCCGCCGCACTGCTCTCTTGCTCTTGCTGGTGTCGTCAGGGCTTGATTGTGTCACCAAAAACACCCTGAAGAGAGAAAAGAGGAATAAGTAAGATCAAATAAACTAAAATATTACAGGAGTGTTTGGATAAGCTTTTAAAAGAGCCATAAAAGTAATTACACATGTAATTACATATGTATGCATTTGTCTACAGCAAGAAGTACTTCTGGTGTTAAAAATATGCATGCAGGAACTTCAGCAAAGGCTGCTCAAATATCCATGTATTTATCCATCTGTAAATTATGTCTGAGGATTTTGTGGTGTTTCTGCAAGGGAGACCAGCCAT